AGGATGTTTCAGTTTTTCTACAGAAGAAGCTTTATAGGTCAAAAGTAGCAATCAATTACAGCAGATTGTTATTAATATTTGTGAGAACAGATATTCAAAATCATGTATGCTCTGTGCAAATAAAGATGGAAATGAAACCGTGTGACACTGTGTTGCAAGCCCAACAATGGAAAGAAAGGGAAGAAATATTTCTTCATCAGTTTTCAGAACAAACAAGATTACAACCAGAACCATACAAATAGAATTATTGAATTTGTTTGCTGATAGTTTTGAGATACAGCGTACCAATTTGCCCTGAAGTAAGTGACAGGCCCTTTGGGGTTTGTAGTAACTGAATGTCATGTGATATTTGGTAGACTCACCATCATCATAAAGTCAAGTTTGGGAAGCAAGTTGCACTGTAGAGCCTAAGGGTACTATTTGTGATTCCATGATAAGACTAAAATAGTAATCCAGGACGACAGTAACTTTGTTACTGGTTTGGTGAAATCTAATTCCAGGATATACCACCAGTTTGGAATGTTTTTAGACAATCTGACTGGATATTGGCACTCAATCTGACTGGATATTGTGAGCTACTCTAGAAAATGTGACAAATAACTGCAGACTAGGGAGGCTCTTGAAAGGATAAAAGTAGTCAAGATACAAGTGGAGTTATGGTCCATCCTTCTTTTCAAAGGAAAAAGGCCTGGACAGGTACTGTTGAATTGTGGAAGTAAATACATACATGGCTACATGGGTGGCATCAGTACAACGCCTTGGCTTCTTTGACAGTGAGAAGATGTTCCAATAAAGAGGATTACTATGCTGGGATGAGCTCCATGTATCAAATACCAAGAAAATCATATTTGGACATTGTCTGACTACCCTAATAAGAATAGTTTTAAACTAAGTTCTGTGGAGTCTAGTGGCACAAATCCAGCCAATGTACATCTAGAGTGACTCAAATAAATGAAGACAATAGGAAAGGGCTTATTTATGGAGAAGGGACTAGAAATCACAACTGTATTAAAAAGGCAAAAAGAAAAGTAACAGGCTAGTCTGCAAAATGTCTTTGATGCCTATATACCAGTGTTTCTTAAACTGTGTTCCATGGCACACTGGTGTGCTGTGGAGAACAACAGAGTTCAAAACAGAGTTCAAAACCCTCAAAGGGGCAGGCGACTTTTTTCTTTGCTCAATAACTTTCCCTCTGAACCGTTTTTTTTTTTTTTTTTTTGGTCATCAAAACAATCCTTGGTGTTCCTCATAAAAAAATTATTGTTTGGTGTTCCTCAGTCTTAAAAAGCTTAAGAAATACTGCTATATACAATGGAAGGAGCATGAAGAAAAAGCAGGATGAACTGGCAATCATGGTATATGAAGGAAATTATGTTTTAACTAGCATTGCAGAGACTTGGGACAATTCCCATGATTGGAGTACCAACATTAAGGGGTATAGCTTGTTTCAATGGACAGATATGTGAAAAAGGTGGTGTTGCACTGTACATCAAAAATGTATATGCTTGCTCTGAAGTCCAAGAGGAACTGAGAGACAGACTTATGGAGACTTTGGGTAAGGATAACAAGGGAAAACAGTAGTGATGTTATGGTATGTGTGTGTGTGTGTGGGGGGGGGGTCTATTATAGACCAAAGTAGGAAGAGGAAGTGGATGAGTCATTCTACTATTTGGCAACAAGATTATGTAACACACAAGCTAGTATTAATGAGGGATTTTAATTTCCCTGATGGCTGTTGGAAGATGTCGAGGGGCGCCTTGCCCATCCCCCTGGAGGGCTGCGTCAGGACCTCTATGGTTCCTCAAACTGTACTCAACTCCTTTCTCTCAGGGTACCATGGCTTAACAGCCAGAGTCCAAGTCTACATCCCTCTCTTGGGGTTGTGTGGCCTAATGTCCACAAAGTTAACACAAGTCTGTCTGTGGTCAGTAGCAGACCAATAAACTTAGATTCCAGTAAGGGGTTGATGAGGAAGGGGTAGAGGGACCCAGCCCCTCTCTCTCCACCATGTCCCAACCCAAAGCTCTGTCAGCAGTGGAGTGCTCCACTGTTAGCTTGGCAGGGAATTTTACCACAACATGCTGAGTTCCCTGGGAACAATTCTCCATACTGGGCTACTTCCTATCCGTCTCTTCTGGATAGTCTTCTCTGTCCCTTCACTCCAGTTTGGGGACTTCCCCTTCAGTCTCTTTTGGCCTAGCCACCTTGTCTTGGTCTGTCAGTGCTTCCTCCCTGGGAGCTCCTGCAGCACCTCCTTCCCCTTGACTACTCACCTGTCCCTTTATATTAAGGGTAGGATCGGGCTTGTCCACATTCTTCATCACATTGTAGAGGGGCAACTTGCCCATCCCCCTGGAGGGTGGCATCAGGCACTCTGCAGCCTCTCAAACTGTACTTGACCCCTTTCTATTAGGGCACCATGGCCTAACAGCCAGAGTCCAAAGCTATGCTCCTCTCAGAGCAATGAGGCCTAATGTCCACAAAGTTAAACTAGTCCCCCCTGTGCTCAGGGTAGTATAGCCTAGCAGCCAAACAGTCACTAAAATTCCCCCAGTGGCCAGGGTAGTACAACCTAGTAACCAGCAGCAGACCCAATAGACATAGATTCCCATATGAGGTTGGTGACAAGCGGTTAGGGGAACCCAGGGCCTCCCTCTTTACCAGGTCACCACCCAGGGCCCTGTCAGCAGTGGAGTGGATCACTGCTAACTCAGCAGGCACAGATGACACTAAGCTATGAGCTAGATGACACTAAGCTAGGAGGAGAGGTAGATACATTGGAGGGTAGAGATAGGGTCCAGAGTTAATTAGACAAATTGGAGGATTGGAGGGCCAACAAGAAATCTGACGAGGTTCAATGTATGTGCCGAGTTCGGTAATGTATGCATACCGAACGTGCTACAATGATAAGTGCCGAGTCTTGAACTTGAGAAGAAAGAATTCCAAGCACTGTTACAGTATGGGGATTGACTGGCTAAACAGCAGTTCTGCAGAAAAGGACTTGGGGTATGTCTACACTACCCCGCTAGTTCGAACTAGCGGGGTAATGTATGCATACCGAACGTGCTAATGAAGCCCGGGATTTGAATTTCCCGGGCTTCATTAGCATAAAGCCGGCT